CCTCGTTTCGCTTCGATGGCTTTCAGCCTCACCCTGCTTCATTCTACTAAATAAATAAATCATTAGCTCATCCATGAACATGATTTCTGCCCGAGTCCTGTCGGATTGCATCGGCTGTGGGGATGAAGACCACAACTCCCATGATTCCACACTCAGTCACAGCGTCATCAAACTACGCCTTTGTTTCTTTGTTTATTTTGAATACGCGCCCTCCAGCGGCGAAAAATTACATTTAAAGTGTACCTTTAAAGAGACTGGTCACACAAACATTTAAAAATATGTTGTTCATTACTGCTGAAACACAAAAGAATAATGTTCTTTGTGCTTTTTTACAGCTTTAAGCTCCAAAAAGACATAAAAGTAGCCCATAAATAACACATTTTTTGTCCGTTTTGGAGCTTGAAAGCTCTTGATGGAAAATAATTTCTCCTGTTGTTAAATAAAATCAAATAATATAGGTTTAGAACAACATGACGGATAGTAAATGACAAAAAATGAATTTATGGATGAGCCAATTGATTAAGTGAATGATGCACCTATTTGCATTCAAATTCGCATATCACTCTTTAACAATCGGCTTTTATTGAAGATGTAGTCTTAAGTCTTATAATAGGTTTTTCTATAAGCCTCTTTGTTCTTATAATCAAACTGATAGGAAATACATTTGGATGCTCTGACAAGTGACAAGCATAGGTCATAAACCACAAGCAAGATGAACAAGGCTCCAGTCGCTGAAACCAACGCTTGAAAGCTCTTGATGGAAAATAATTTCTCCTGTTGTTAAATAAAATCAAATAATATAGGTTTAGAACAACATGACGGATAGTAAATGACAAAAAATGAATTTATGGATGAGCCAATTGATTAAGTGAATGATGCACCTATTTGCATTCAAATTCGCATATCACTCTTTAACAATCGGCTTTTATTGAAGATGTAGTCTTAAGTCTTATAATAGGTTTTTCTATAAGCCTCTTTGTTCTTATAATCAAACTGATAGGAAATACATTTGGATGCTCTGACAAGTGACAAGCATAGGTCATAAACCACAAGCAAGATGAACAAGGCTCCAGTCGCTGAGACCAACTTGTGGTTGCACAATACTTGACAGAACAGAAAACGCCGGTGAGATGAACGGAAACATAACACATACACAAGACATAATTCATGTCAAAATGAAGTATTTATAGTGAAAAATCATCATTGCTCATAAAAAAAAAAAAAAAAAAAAAAACAACAACTCCCTAGCAACCATTCATAACCAGTGGTAGACGAAGTATCAAATGCTTGAGTAGAAGTACAGATATCCTAATAAAATATTAGCCTACTCCAGCAAAAGCATCAAGTAACTAGACTACTCCTGAAGTCACTACTACTTTTCAGTTTTACTCAAGTAAAAGTACAAAAAGTATAAGATTTTTTTAAGCATTTCATTATTAAAAGTAAAAAGTACTGATCGATGAATGTTTATTTTGTAATTTTAACTTATATACTTTTATATTTAATAATTTTACATTATATAATTTAGGCTATATAAAACTAATGATCAGAATATCTGGGGGCTTGTCATACACACGCACCAAAACAATAAATATTAGTATCAATTTAGGTTACTAATACTTCATCTGTGCAAACAAGTGAAAAAAATAAAAATATATATATATAGTATTTAAAATGAGGAATAACTAAATGTGTGTTCACAAACAATATACTGTGAATACAGACAAAGGGCAAAATGTATACAATTTTAAGAAGAACTCTATGCAAGCATATGCTTCGGCAATGGGGAAGATGCACATAGAGGAGAAACAATAATGTACAGTATGTGGAAAATAATGTGTTTTTTGAACTTTAAACCGCATAAACACATTTCATTACACCAAATACACAAAATAATGTTCTTTTTAGCAGCATCATATGACCCCTTTAAGTATTATATTTTATTTTTACCAAAAAAACTAACCCGTTAAGCACTTCTTTAAACAGCTCGCCATTTTACAACAGATTTAGTTCACAAACAACTGACATTCGTGACTTAAATGATTTTCATATAGTAACATTAGTAACTTATTTTTCGCGCCATCAGTCACGCATGCACTCAAGCTTCGAAGATCTCCCATTTTTGGGATTGTAGCTAGAAGGGATACAGCTACGGCCAGAAAAACCAACAATAAATGACATTTTCTACCTATTAGATTGTGTTTTATTAACGTCTACACCTTCCCAACCCTAAACCTACTCCTTACAATAATGCAAAAACAGTAATTATTGTTGTACAGCGTGACAAAAATGATGCTATTTTGATGTGCGTATGCCCAGTAGCCGCAGCTGTATCCCTTCCAGCCTTAACCCGTTTTTTGCTTATTTTGAGTCAGACTTCACTGAATTGTTTACTGGCGACTCGCTCTGACTGAATCATTTGAAACAGTGAGTTGTTGACTCGAGAACGGCTGCAATCCGCTCAGTCCAGTTTGCGAATGAATCATTCAGTGCGATTTGCGAACCGATTTAACAGGTTCACTAAAAAGAATCGGCTCGTTCATGAATCATTCACCGATATCACATCTCGGAGCGGGTGGTGATTTCTCCAGTTCAAAATAACGAGGTGCGAAATGTTTTAAGAATTCTAGTGGAATAAAATGTATGATATTATGCTTTGAAATCTAGTTAAGTAAAAGTTTCTCAAAATAAAAATACTCCGATAAAGTACAGATACTTAGCTAATAAATGTGGTAATTACATTGCTGTCTATGGGAGGGTCAGAGAGCTCTCAGAATTCATCAAAAATATCTTAATTTGTGTTCTGAAGATGAACGGTCTTACGGGTTTAGAACGACATGAGGGTGAGTAATTAATGACAGAATTTTCATTTTTGGGTGAACTATCCCTTTAAGTAGGCTAGAAATTAAGTAAAAATACTTTGTTACCGTAGCCTACACCACTGCTCATAACTCACTTGAAACCACCAAACAACTCCCAAGAAACCACACAGCAGCATGTCAACAACCAATCAAAACGTGCCAACACTCTGGAGACCACCCAAAGGCACATGTAAAAATCAAGTTTTGCTGGGATTTGGCTGTTTTTTTGTTTTGTGTTGTTTTTGTGAAAAGGTGAAATCACTTTTTCAGGCATGTTCGCCGAACATAAAAAGGCTAAAGAGAGAGAGATGAAGTGAAGCACACTGCTCTTGTCTCCCATAGCAACCCTGGCATTTCTAGTGCATTTCCTGATACATGATGTTCTGTTTTGGAAGGTTACACTGACATGCTAGTTAGCATGTGCCAAGCGCACCAGAAATGCAGGAACAGACAAAAGAGGAATGTATTTTTAGGAATGGCCTAACTAGGTCATGTGCTTCACGGCCAGGAGAAAGCTGTGAAAATGGCTGCTCTCCCATCACTGCAGAGTGTGTGCTTTTCATGTGGATCGAACGCATTTCAGCAGATAACATGTAGTTTTCAGAAATGACTAAAAAAAAAAATTTATATGTATCAATCTCACTTGTTGTGGCATTATAAAAAAAACAACAACCTGAATTTGAAATTAAAATATGTATTATTCATTGGAAAATAGAAATAATTTGATGATCAATGAAAAATAAAAATGTTTTTGTTCAATGAAGATTTAAAATCAACATGAAATCAGTGGTGACTTAATATATTAAAAATATTAATAGTAATTTTGATTTAAAAAATAATACAAAATATACTATAATTCCAAAGTTTCTGAAAGAAATTAATACTTTTAGCCAGGAAGGACACATTAAATTTATCAAAAGTGACATTTATATTGTTATAAAATGTTTCTATTTCAAATAAATGCTGTTTTCTAAACTTTCGATTCATCAAAAATTTTGATTTTTTTTTTATCACAGTTTCCACAAAAACTGATAATAATCATAAATGTTTCTTGAGCAGCAAATCAGCATATTAGAATGATTTCTGAAGGATCATGTGACACTGAAGACTGGAGTAATGATGCTGAAAATTCAGCTTTTAATTACAGGAATAAATTACTTTTTAAAATATATTCAACTAGAAAGCAGTTATTTTAAATTGCAATAATATTTCACTATATTATTTTTTACTGTATTTTTATTAAATAACTGCAGCCTTGGTGAGCATAGAGACTTCTCTCAAAAACATTTTGAACGGTAGTAAATACAGTATATATATTTTCCTCTCAGAAAGAAAGTAAAATGGGTTGTGAACATTATGTTGACTTATATAAAGTGCATGCAAAAAATGAGTACCAAAACAATTATGAGATGACATTCAGCTTTGAAATGACTTGGAAACTCATTCTCTGAATAGAAATATATTCATGAGGTCATGGGCTAGTAAAGCGATCAGTCTGCGGCTGATCCCCTTCAACTTTACTAGGAAAAGTCCAGGCTTTGTGAATGTTCTCTAAGCCTTCTGAGTTCAATAAGGCACCACTACATGAATTATACAAGAAGATTATATTTCTCAAAGGATTTATTTTTAATACAACCAGTGCTCTACCTGGCGGCAACATTATCACAACATTTTTATTCAGTCTGATATGGAGAGGATTTGATATAACTTGCTTTTTCCAGTGCCTTTGCCGCTCAGACAGAAATACAAGAATAACATGGATATTTCACAATAACCCGTCCCACACACAGCACTACAGACATGATATCTAAAATCATGCGACTTATGAAGATGTGTGATCATGATACACCATTTTTATGCACTGGACAATAAACATTCCCACAAAATTATACTGAAGGAGGGACTAAGAGATTTGGTTCCAATAAGAACCACCTAGCAAACATCTTATGACTTAAATGTTGGTTTGGTGAACTTGCCTGTCTTTCTTTGTTTCAGACCCAGAGGGCCGCAGGTTAAAGGGCATTCAGAGGAGTACAGAGACAGGGCTGGCCGTAGAGATGCCCAGCCGTACGGTCCGGCAGGCGAGCCACGAGTCCATCGAGGACAGTATGAACAGCTATGGCTCGGAGGGAAAGTGAGTATTATAAATCAGTACTTTTCAAAATAGTACATTTCTTTTAAAGGAATAGTTCACCCAAAAATGTAAAAAAAAATTGCTGAAAATTACTTTACTATCCAAAATTACTATCCAAGATGTAGATGCGTTTGTTTCTTCACTAGAACAGATTTAGCATTCCATGACTTGCTCACCAATGGATCCTCTGCAGTGAATGGGTGCCGTCAGAATGAGAGTCCAAACAACTGATAAAAACATCACAATAATCCACAAGTAATCCACACCACTCCAGTCCATCAGTTAACATCTTGTGAAGCCAAAAGCTGCGTGTTTGTAAGAAACGAATCTATCATTAACACACAATCATCACATCTGGCTTATGGGTCCATAATCCAAAATAACGCTTCCTCTAGTGAAAAAGTCCATCCCCTGTTGTCGTCTCAGATCAAAATCCACTGACATATTTTTAGGACATATGCTTAGGGACCGTTTTAAATGGATCTGTGCGTATTTCACTCCTGATTCTGATAAGACGACTTTTTCACTGGAGAAAGCAATATTATGGATATGAAATGATGGTTTGAAGTTAAAAACATCTTAATAATGGATTTGCTTCTTACAAACACGCACCTTTTCACATCATGAGATGGACTGGAGTGGTGTGGATTACTTGTGGATTATTGTGATGTTTTTAACAGCTGTTTTGACGGCACCCATTCACTAATATTATAAAAATAACCCTTATCACAACGATGACTCACTTTAAATGTACAAAAATCAATACTGGCTGCTTCCTCTCAAACTGAAGAAGCCTAACAAATATAGAATCTGTTATTTCGTTTGTTATCAGTTTGATTGGGTGGGACAAATATAGGAAAGAGTGTTATATTACATTGTGGAAAAGTGTGAGATGAGAAAAGAGCTTTAGAAATCTACCTCTGTACACAGCCTTTAGATATATTCAGCTACATGTTTCATCCAGACAAATCTTTCTTTCTCTTTTTTTTTCTTGCTTTCTTCCTACGAAAGCTACAAAAAAACAAGGGATATTTTTCTATCTTTTGACAGCCGTAATATTTTTATTTAAAAATCATAGTTTCAGTTTTACCAGTTTAACAAAGCAAAATTAAAATCTGGAATCTACTTGGTTGTGAATCACTGTTATACAGGAATCACAGGTCTCACATTCCCATTTTATTGGTTTTGGGATACATAGCCCTTAGTGTTACTGCATTACATTTCTCTAGAAACAGGGATGCTCATCCAATAACTCTCAAGAGATTGTGCTTATATCTTATATCGAGCAATAAGTGTTTGAGATATTCCCATAAGTTACATAACCAACAATATAAACCCCTCTTCTCAGTAATAAACCTTTTCTCAGCTGGCTCCATTTCTGAATGAAATCCAGAGTTCAGACCTTCTGTGTTGATGTACTGTAAACTCATTTCAGACCTGGACACTGTCTGGAGTGTCACATCAAAGCTACAGGTTTTGAGTTTTGCTTGATGTAGTCTTATTTTAGCACTGTGGAGGACAAAAGCTGTTTAGCTTTAATTCCAATGTGCCAGAAAGTTTTGCACAAGTTTGGATACATAAATGGAGAAGATATTTGCTGGTTTGGGCTTGTTTGAACCAGGGCTATTATCATTATCTAAAACTATAACTTAGAAAAACATTAGAAACATTAGACAAAAAAAGCATATAAATAAATTTAAAATTATTTTATTTCAGCTAGTTGCCAAGTTGCACAATATTTTAATTAAAGTAAAATTTTAATAATGCTCTTTTTCATTGAACAAACACATTTTTTAATGAATTATCAACCATTAGACATTAGGGGTGTAACTTGTATTTAAAGAAAGAGCAACTTGTTCAGTAAACCATTTAAAAAAAAAAAGTTTTCCCCCCTGCTGTACCGAAATCAAACCGAACCGTGACGTTAAAACCGAGGTACGTACCGAACCGTCATATTTGTGTACCGTTACACCCCTATTAGACATACTGTGGCCCAAAACTATTTGGACATGCATGAATGTCATTGCATTAGATAATAAAATATCAAAGCAAGTGGCATTTATTTTATTGCACAAGTACACATTTTATACAAAACATGATAATATGAACAATAGATATTTGATTTAAAATGAAGACAATATGTATCGGGATACTTTGCAGTTGCCAAAAGCTAAAATTGAGACCTTCAGAGAGGATGCAAGATGATATAAACTTCAAATAGATTCATGAAGATTTTTCAGACAAAATCATTAAAATAAGAACCACTCATTAATGACAAAAACTTTTGAAATGCGCTTGTAATTCACTTCAAAACAATATGTTCCGTTGCATAATTATAATATGTTATGCTTGACCGCGGTCTATTCTGCATTAATTTCCCCTCAAACTCTTTGTCCAATACCCAGCGCTCCATTAGAAATTCACACACAGACAAAAACTCCCCGCAAACCTTACGTAATGTAGTTGGATGCTCTTCCTGTGCAGCTCCATCATGGGAGTAAAATCCAGCCCAATTCAGCGGGATTACTGCGCAGTTTATGGAGCATGGGGATTACAGTTTTGGCTGCCACTGCTGAGGATATTTGACCATATTACATTGCATCTTATGCATCTCATGAATACATAACAGAGTAAAACATATTTTACATAAACACTCACTGTCATTCTGGGCTTTGACAAACAACTGTGATGGAAAGTCATAGAGCAAGGCTGAGTTAATGTAGTGGCTTTTTTTTTTTTTTTTGCTTCTACAGAAGTTTCTCTAATATGTATTCAGTAGGGTTTATTTTATCTGTTTCCATTAGATATTGTTTGTAAATTGCCTTGGGGCTTTTTGCCTTTAAAAACGTCAAATGTTATAAAATCAAACAACTGTATCAAAAAGTTATAAAACAATTTAAAAATATTAAAACTTTACAAAGCATTACAAGGAGCATTATTAAAACATTAAAAACTAGGACTAAACATTATATAAAAAGTTATAAAATATTATGAAGTGTATATTAAAAATATTGGGGCTTAAAACTTACAAAAATCATTATTAAAACATAAAAAGTAACAAATATTAAAATATTACAGAGCATTATTTCTTTGCAGTTGTCTCTTACAAAACCTTACATTTAAATTCAATTTATAGTCTATTGACTCCAAAACACATTGCAAATCTTACAAAGATCAATACATTTTCTAAAGTAAGCATCATCTTGCTGCAGCTGTTGTGCAGATATAGAAGAATAGATATCTTTACAGTGGTTTTATAGGTGCTTTTGCTAAATAGTAGTATGCATCTGATGCACTTTCTCTGATACTCTTACAACAATCTGAATCTCTTGCATCTCTGACCTCCACAGCTCCCACTTTTGTCAATAAAAATGTCTTATTTGGGGAGCAAGAAGTGCGAAAGAGGTCACATTAGTGAGATTTATTTAATGGACCTGTCAAAATGCCCTAGAAAGCGAGAAAGCAGCAATCTAACGCCCTAATTATAACTCCAAAAGCAGAACTGCTCATGGTGCATGGACCAAAAATATAATCATATTAAATGTCCTGAATAAAATCATTTATGATGCATTTTTTTTAAAACAGCCAGAAACTGAAATGCAGTGACGTAAATATGAGTGCAAAATGCCCTCAAGTTCACACAGGTGTCCTAGCAAAAAATCACCACGGGTTTGACATTTGACGTCCAAAAAGTGTCCAAATACTTAATTATAAACAGTATATCTGCTGATTTTTTATTTAAAACCTAACAAACTTCTGTTTGCGAAATGATTTGCATGAATGTTCTGTCCTTCTTTAAAATCAATGCTATTTCATATACAATGAAATTCATACATTGAGTGTCCAAATACTTTTTGGGGCCTCTGTAGAAAATTTTAATTTTGAGATCGATATTCAATAAATTCTCAAATAGATCGGATAAAAATCTGAGAGATATAAATATAATTGAACATCAGATCATCTTCATTTAGGGTTATTATAGTTAACTAAAATTAAAACCATAAAAAAAAATCACATCAAATTAAATAAATAAAATACAAAACTCCTTAAACTTATTTTATTTCAGCTAGCAGCCAAAGCAACATCTCTCATTTTCCTTTAGTTTAACTTGATATACTAACATAAAATAAACAATTATGTACTGTATATTTAATATATAATTATATATTTAAATAAAAACTATATAGAGATATAGACAAAAATTTATAAAAACTAATTCAAAATATTGCTAAAAACTATAACAGTATCTCACTGATACTAAAATACCACCACATTTAAAAATAAGTCTGCACTCTATTTCAGATGCATAAACATTTCCCACATACCTTTCACTTTTTCCAGAAAACAATAACTCTTGTACTTGCATGCAGGAACGGAGCATCTGTTTAAAATGTTTGCATGCAATGAATACCAGAGCGCCAGAAGAACAGCACGGAGACAGTGATATATAAAGCAATTGAGAGCAGTGCGCCATGATTAACACATAACACAGACAAATGTTTATTCGAGTGACATCAAGAATGTGGCGTGTAATATGTGGAGCGGTGATAGGTGTATTTGTCACTCTCCGAAGCGTTTGTAGTAATGCGTGTGTGTTTACTGCTGACGCCAGTGCACGCAGGGCCAGTGACTAATAATGACTCTCCGTTTTTGCCAGATAGAGTGATGAAATGTCATATGCGAGAGAGGAAGAGGGTGAAAGGAATAGTTTGTCCAAAAATGAACGTTCTGTCATCATCTACTCACCCTCAAACCCAACCGTCATTCTTCTGTGGAACACAAACAGAGATGTTTTGAAGAAAAACGTCACACAGCTTGTGACCACAGCTGTCAGATTTTGGTCCTAATAATGAAAAAAATACACAGCAAAAGACCTTAAAAGTAGTCTGACTTGTGTGCCTTTTTCCTAGTCTTCTGAAGCCATATGATATAACTTTGTGAGATGAACAGATGGACAGAAAGTTGTTTTCAAAATCAGTTCGCTTGGCTGCCATCTTTCAGCAGCTATTTTTCATTCAAGTACAGCTCCTGTCTACTTGAATGTGAAAATCAGAACTTACAATATGTCAAGATTTCGTTTCAATAATAAATTTTAAATCAGCAATAAATTCAGACAACAATGGTATCACACATTTTGCTTTTTTAGTTCAAATTGTGCTTTAAAAAAGTTTGGTAAAAAATATAAATAATAATAATAATGTGTGTGTGTGTGTGTGTGTGTGTATTTTATATTTTTATATTTATATGTTTTCTATTTTTATTTCTTAATTAGCCTTTATTTGTCTCATTTTCCAGTAAATACACTACCGTTTGGGATCAGTAAGATGTTTGAATGTTTCTGAACATCTCAAGGCTTAATTTATTTGATAAAAAATACAATAAAAACAGTATTATTATTATTATTATTATTATTATTATGAAGTTTTATTATAATTCAAAATAACTTTTTTCTGTTTGAATGCTTAATATACTTTTTTCAGGATTACGATGAAAAAACGACAAAAAAAACAGCACTTATTGCAACATTACAACATTATAAATGACTTTACTGTCATTTTTGATCATTTTAATGCAGCCTTGCTGAATAAAAGTATTAGACTGTAGTGCATATATTGACAGTAGTGTACAGGTATCTTCAAAACAAGCTAAATTTACTAAATATGCAACGCTGCATAAAATCATTACACCAAATACACAAAATAATGTTCTTTTTAGCAGCATCATATGACCCCTTTAAGTCTTCTTTTCAACATTGCTATTCAAATCATGTGAAAAAAAAGAGATACGTTCTTTGAAAACAAGTTTTAATATCTTATGCAGTTTTGCGTATCAAGTAAAATAATTTTTTTTCATATTTAAACTGAAAAAATGTGAAAAGACTTGGAAATAAGTTGTATGGACCACTTTTCTGATTCTAATGTGGTTATATGGACTGTGTGACGATTCTCCGTCTGTGTTCCAAAAGGCTTTGGAATGACATCTTGAGAGTAAATGATGACTGTTCCTTGAAGAACACAGAGACGAGCGGATAGAGACACCAGACGAGAGACTAAATGATGAACTAGATATTGACGTGGGACAAAAAGACAGGATGGAGTGAAAAACGAGCAAAAGAACGAGGCGGCGATGAAAATGGCATCTCTTGGGATGCCCGGTCTGACTATTAGGCATCAGGATCGTCTAGACCCTCCCAAAAGCATTTTAAAAATAAACCTGTGCGGAGACGGCAAGCGAAAGAGACCGAGCCGGGAATGGGTGGAGGGGCGCTGGAGAGAATCTAGGTCAAACCGCAGAAAGAAAATTAATTATGAATCCGTCCACATTAGTGTGGAGGATTATTGAGAACAAACACACAGGAATGGGAATGGAGAAAGGAGGAAGAGACGGTTTGAAAGGAGAGCAAGAGAACGCCAGTCATGTAGAGCGCCAAGGGTAGCTTTTTAAAATAAATATAAAAATATATAGACCTATTAATAAAGAAGAAATGTGTCAAAACTAATGACTATTTTCGAACAGGTTTTCTGAACACTCACCCCATCTGCCATTGGTCGGTCAAAACCGATAGAATGTAAAAACACCTTATGTCGGGGGTGGTTACGTTTGCTCAAACACGCACCCCTTTGCCCTCTTTGGCCCCCTTTTTTTTTGCTTGCAAAAGGAAAACACACTTTTTTCATCACCATCTGTTTCTGTATCTAAAATGGATCTCGTTGCAAAAAAAAATACAAAATTAGACCTAATTAATCTCATCCGAGCACAAGTGGCTGCCTTCTGTTTGCTGAAAAAAAGTGAAAAATCTATGATAAGCAATATGGGATTTTTCACCTGTGTAGATAGCTAAAATTAAGTACATTTCCTTTAAGAAGATCTAGCTAAAGAGTAAAAAAGAAATTATGTATAAAAAGAAAAAATAAGAGGTTGATAAAGGAGCATTGCTTCCTAAGTGAGACAAGCAGGTACATGGCTATTTTACTTTTATTATATTATAATATAATATAATATAATATAATATAATATATTTAATTAGAAATATGAAGATCTTGTTGGTTTAGTTTAAGGCTTAGATTTCTTTACTGAAGATGTTTTAGGGGGAGAAAATGAATCTGAAAAATAATTCCGGAAGGCTGATGAAAAAGTGGACAGTCACTGTTGTGCTATTAGATGAAGGCCAGACCTCCTATTTCAAGAGGTCATGAGGGTGAATATGACACGGAGCATGCGGCTCATCTCCTGGAAACACATACAGATGTATTTCCAAGAAAAAAAACATCGTCTTATATTCGGGTCAATACGGTATATGCGGAGCACTCGGCACTATCAAAGCTGAAAGGCTGTGTATCTTCATTACATAAAAGGGAATTCCATTCCGTCCATCGATCCCGTCCCATCACAGAGCCATGCCGTTATCACTTCAGCCATCGCAGAATGAAGGAAACCTTCATAATATGCGTCATACATGCTCATCTAACGTCAATCTTCAAAGCCATGACAAGCAACACACACATGCTTAATTCAGGCTGTCAGTACTCAAAACAATGAAATATATGTACACAAAACATTCTCAACATTGTTAATACAGCACTGTATGTTCCATCCAGCAGACAAAATACAGCATTTAATAAAGTGTATGAATAAAATGAATTCACTTCCACAGTAACACTGCCCCGTTTTCTTCCCTTTAGTCTGAACTACAGTGGAATGTGTTTGGCATCAGACGCCCAGTTTAGTGACTTTCTGGATGGGATGGGACCTGCTCAGTTTGTGGGCAGACAGACACTAGCTACAACTTCAATGGGTGAGTGCACTTATACATCACTACATGTTAGTGTAGTACAAGTGAACAGGCTATAATTTGTCCTTTTCTTTATTGCACATAAAGGCTAGCCATTTAAAAATACACATTTTGTATTTTATTGTGTTAAATGATAAAGGAAATTATGCATCTTTTTAGATATGTATATGTAAGTGATGGAAAGTCCTTGACAAAGAATTTAAAAAAAAAATCATGTATAAAAGAAAAAATGATTGAAAATGCTGATTATTATTATTATTATTCTTGTCTATTTTTCAATTTTTGCCTCTATTTCTTGCCCTATAGTTCATAATATGTTGATATTGTGATTAGTATTGGAGCTTCTAGAATAGAATATAGAATAGAATAATTATATACTATAGATATAATATGTATACTTACTAATTCTATTATATTAATATATGAATAGTTCCTATTTTACTGTATTTTAATGTATTAAATTAATTTGATATATACTGTCAAAATATGTTTTATAGGCTAATATGTAATACTTTGACATATATGTTGACTAAAATCAATGGTTCTTAAGTTAATAGTTTATTCAATCATACAACACTAAACAAATAAACATTAGTCTTATACTGTGCCTCTGTCTTTTTGCTTTAAATATTGTTTAGAATTTTACGACTAGATACATATCTTTTTAGATATGTATATGCAACTAAAGTGATAGAGCTTGACACCTTTTTATGTGTTCAACAAGTGGTCGGTAATTTTCAGTTTGTATGACAAAATATTCAATAAAATAGTGGAAATTAGAATGCATGAAAAGAGATTCTATTTTGATACGTGATACTTTTGATACTTTAATACAAAAAAAAAAGTGACATAAAAGATAGAAAATTTTCATAATTATGATTATCAATTTTGTTAGAGTATGTTTCTGTTATATTAAAGTCCCTGACATGTAAATAACAACAGAACATGTTTATATGGTGGCTGTTTAACCAAAATGACCAATCAGCACCCAGAACTTGAACCATCAGTTTATAATCAATAAAACAACATTAAATAAGACTGCAGAGAAAATATGGTCATTAAAATATTGTTAACACTTTACAAAAAGGTCTCATTAGTTAACATTAGTTAACGCATTAACAAAACAATGAACAATACATGTTACAGTATTTATTAATATTAATATAAAATACGATTCATTTATAGGTTATGTTAGCTCAGGTCCATTAAATATGAACAGATACAATATTTGATTTCAATAATGTATTAGTAAATATATTATTATTAGTTGTTCATTATTAGTTCATGTTAACTAATGTAGTTATCTAATGTTAACAAAGGGAACCTTATTACCAACACAATGCTATTTAAAAAGGAAGAAATAATGTCACTCACCCACGTGTCACTTGACGCTCGTTAACGTGGGTATTAATGTCTGCAGGAGATGTTGAGATCGGTCTGATGGAGAGGAACGGACAGCTGGAGGTGGAGATCATTCAGGCTCGAGGACTCATCATGAAGCCTGGATCTAAGGGCCCTCCAGGTGATTCTTCATCAGACAGAGGGATGAGCCTGATAGCGATTAGATTCATTTATCCAGAGCACAAAACTGACTGCAGATGTTTATAGACTGGTTCTCAAATACAGAAGTTTCTCTTAGATTGTTTTCCTATTCTTATCTGAGCATTCATTATCCAAAAGCGAGCATGTGTGTTAGAGAAAATTGAAAAGAGACGTCTAAATCAGTGGCTCTTCAAAGTGGCTTTCAATATCTTGTGGATTTCAAGGATGCCGTTTGAATTATTGATTATTTTTTTTTGTTTCCTTCTTCCCTTTCAGCGGCCTACATTAAAGTCTACCTTCTGGAAAATGGCATCTGCACTGCCAAAAAGAAGACGAAGTCTGTCCGGAAATCATTAGATCCCCTTTACAATCAAGTCCAAAGCTTATTTATTCAGCTTTCATATGGTTTATACATCTCAATTTCAAAAAATTGACCCTGGTTTTGTGGTCCAGGGTCACAAATGCATTTCAAATTATGTGATTCACCCAGATGAATGGAATTAACAAAAAAACATTATGAAGAATTATGGTAAATTCAAAATTGACAATTATGAATTTATGAAGTTACAAGGAATATATATATTTCAAATTGTGATATTTTATCCATATTAATAGAACTAGCAAAAAAAATCATTATGAACTATGATAAATTGAAAAAGGAAAATTTTGAATTTATGGATTAGAAGGATTATATACATTTAAAATTCTTAAAATCTATGTAATTAGATTAATCTGGATTAATGGAACTAACTATTTATGAATTTATGAATTAGAAGGATTATATATATATATATATATATATAATTTTTTTTACTTTTTAAAAAAAAATTTTCTTCTTCAAATTCCATTCTAAGGTTCACCCAGAATAATGGAATTCACTAAATGAAATTGACTAAAAATAACTAAAATAGAGAATTCTGAAATGAATTCAATTCAATTGAATTGAATTTAAAACATTTTAAACAGATTTAAAATGTAGAATATTATAGTCAAAAGTACTTTTCATTGTTCCTTATGATAACATAATACTTCCATGTCTCATGAACAGGTCATCGTTTGGGGAAACTACGGCCGGATGGATCGTAAATGCTTCATGGGCGTGGCCCGCATCCTATTGGAGGAGCTGGATTTGACAAACATGGTGATTGGCTGGTACAAGCTTTTCCCCACCTCCTCTATGGTGGACCCCACGATGGCGCCGCTGATCCGCCACTCCTCACAGCTCTCTCTGGAGAGCACCGTCGGGCCGTGCTGTGAACGCTCATAAGACTAACAACTCCACTAGATTTATTTTTCTCTGGAAGGGCTCTCACAGACCCCCCCGATCCTAAGAGTGCTGGTTGTGCATGACTGCGGCACCGGAATCCTCTGGAATGTTCTAGAATTTCTTCAGAACAAATGACCTTTCTGGAATATTCCAGAATTGACCTCAGAGGGAATGCTCTTTTTCAGCCTCTGAGAAAAAGACTTCAGGACAGGCAAAGAATGCAGACCAGACGTCTGGGCTTTATTTTAGCTTTCAACACATTAGCTTGTGATGGTCTGTATGAGGAAACGTCCTCCATTTAGAACTAAACGCAGGTAAACGTTTGTGCAGTCATCGTGTTGGGTGCTGCAACGGATGGGTTCGTGCAATATGACACACAATAGAGAGAAGAATGTATCGGTAATAAAAGTGCGGGTTTGCATTCTTGTGTAATTAACAATACAGGAATAGATATATGTCTTAAAAATATGTGTAGTTTGAAAAGAGTCATGATTCCGTTCGCACACGGATCTTTTTCTGTTCGTGTCTCTTCCGTTTCGTCGTTCTCTTTACTGAACAGTGCCAATGCTGCCAGCAAGTGGCTTTATTTGTGGCTAGTGTCTATATTCGGTGACTACAGGCTTTATGAATCAATAATCTAAGCAGACACATATTTAAAAAGACTATCTTTTCCCAAACAGTGACATGTCATTTTACGTTTTCCCCCACTAACAGTATATGGAAAAATTTAAATGGATGCAAGATGCTGATAGATATGATAGATAGAGGTTTTTAATGGCTGAAACCAATATCTAAAGAGAAGAGTGATATAAACAGACATGATATATACATATATAATACAATTTTATGATAACATGTACATAAAAATAATACATTTAAATGAAACGTGTGCAATCCATTATTTTTAAAACGAACAGTAGGCCTAATGACCACTTCTGTAAATCCCCCCCCCCCAAAAAAAGATCAAATATTGGTCAAATTAATCGCCAAGGCCAATATTTAAGAGTATATTATGAATTATTAAAATATAATTTAGTTTTGCACTTTATAATCTTAAATGTCTTTCTTGTAAGCAACCGCAAGTTTGGCATAAGCCAAAGTACACTTTCTTCTTTACATTATGATATTATTTGTGACTTCGGGATGCAGAAACTTTAGTAGCAATGATAAGGTTGTAGATCTTGTCCCTGTTTGATGTAATTACAAAGAATAAAGATCTCTTTTACACACATCATACAGTATGCATCCCACACACATACATATTTTTTATATAATATAGCTTTTTTGCATTTTTGTAATAAAAATGAATAAATAATAATAATAATAATAATGACAGCAATAATCTTTGTTAAAAATTATATAATAATAAAAATTAATTTTTTTTCTTTATACACACACACACATATATATGTGTGTGTGTGTGTGCACACCCATACTATTTCATTTATACAAAGTAATAATATGTTACTTTTATACATACCATTTGTAGTATTAATAGAATATAAAATATATTAATAATACCTTTTAGAAATTATACAAAATAATAAATATAGAAAATGTTTATTTTGTAATAAAATATTTCTTATATTACAATTATATAATATTGTTAATATTGTATTGTTAATATCGTTATACTTATATTAATGTTGCTTTGTGTAAATACACAAATGTAACATTAATATTTCTACCAATAATACATTTGGTCCCCAACGCAAAGTAAACACAAAAATATGTAAAATGTTGAAGCCAAATTCAAACTTTTTACCTTCAAACTATCTTATCTACAAATGATTGAAAAAGTGAATTAGGACAATGTTGTATTTTCTTTGACACAACTGTGGTTTTATTTAATCTTTTACTGACAGGAAAAAAATCCACATCAAATAAATAAAGTAGTTGTTTTATATCTTTAAATATTTATAACAAATCCTTCTGTAAGAAGACTATCATGCTTTCATTTTGAAAGAGGTTATTAAAATGAGCCACAAACACTGAACAATAAAACAACAGCAAGTGTCTGAAAGTAGACGCAAATTAACAAAATGTTCGACCAGGACGAGACAAAGACGAGATCCGAGTATATTCCCTTGTGTAAACTGAGCGAGGAGTCGCCCTTTCACCAGCTCCTCAACACTAAAACTAAATCTACTTTCAAAACACGTCATGCACCCGAATGCAGACAGAAGAGCACATGTTCATCTCAGAGAGTTCACCAGTTTTCTGGAACGTTCTAACATTTCATCCTGCTAAATAAAATTATAAGGGCTAATTTGAAACTAGATACCTAGAGTCCAATTTAAAGTCGTTTAACTACACTGAAGTTGAAAGTAGTTAGTTTATAATTACTTATCTGGTGCAAAAAAAAACAAAAAACTTTTTTTTTTTAATTTGAGCAGCTTTTGCAATGTGTAAAAAACAGCAATGCTCCATTTTGACTTGTTACACCGGTACTTGTTGGAAAAAGTAGGTTTTAGTGGAAAAGTTACAGTATTTTGAAAACAACTGAAAAATGAAGGTAAAAGAAGTTAAATAAAATAAGTTATTACTTCGTTTACACTGCAACTTAGCAACTTTCCGGAAAATTAAACTAGTAATGTGATTATAATGTCATCATCCTGGCCCTACCAGAGCATCTCGCCCTAAAAGTCCACCATCTTGTGTTTGCGACAGCGCAACAAAATTCCCACAACTTTATCAGAGATTTTGACATAGCGGTCGAACAGGCGGCCGAAGGTAACGTAGATACGACCCTCTTTATCCCGCTGGCCCATGTCGCGTATGATAAAGCACATCTCCTCCATCTCACGGTAGATGTGTTTCTGGGCCCGGTCGGCACGCTGGGCTGTTTTGGATCCCTCTTTGGGCCGCCCGTATCCCGCGTCGCCCTTGTTGAGTCGAATAGCCATGGCATGTTCATAGTCAAACTCTTCACTGAAAGGGTTGAGCTTCTGGCCTTTAATGTGGTCTTCAGCGAACCGCTGCCACGTGCTCCTCAAGTCGTTCATCGTGGCTATTTTAATCTGAGAGGACAAGATTCAGATGTTATTCAGGACCACATAGTCACATCACATAGTGTATGTTTTAAAGAATTAGATGCAAAAAAAGACGGATGAAATAAGATGAATTTGCTTGGTTTGTGGTTGTATATGTACAGAAATGTATATGAACAAACAAATAAATATTTTAGAATTAATATAAAATATGCATCTATAAATATAGTTCATAAATGGACTGTATAGACAGAAAATAATAAAATTAATCATTTATTTTTATTATCAATGTTGAAAACAGTTGTGTAAATAAATAATGAATAATGCAAATAAATGAGTTTTATAATTAATATGAAATATTTATTTATAAATTAAATGTATAAATAGCTTTTACAGTATTCAAAAAGAAACATTTCTTATTATTATCAGTGTACAGTTAATTAACAGTTGTGAAAATGTATAAAAAAGATTAGGTTAATTAATATTAAATATTTATGAATTTAAATGAATAGTTTTTACAATATTCAACAGGAAAGTTCACATTCAACATTTCATATTATTATCAATTCTGAAAACAGATTATTTATTTATTTAGTTGATTTTACTGCATTCAACAAGAAAGGAATTTAGTTCATGTTATTTAATGTGGCCTAGATGACATCATCTGCAAAAGATTTCAGAGGTTATTTATTATTATTAAATAATTTTAGTAGTAGTAGTAGCAGTAGTAGTAGTAATAATAATAATAATAATTCACTTTAAAGGCAACATTTTTCTTTAGATTAGCATGCATAATAAGGAATGTCTATTTGTAATTTAGATTTCTTGTTGACTTTAAAACATCTTTGTTTACAATAATATATTATTCAGATCTTGTTTAAGGTGTAGACAACCTGGCTTGTCATGCCTGAGCATTACTGTTAAATATTTCTCAGGATGTCTTCAAGGGGCACTTATTTCACATGGGCACCATCTGAACCCTTGCAAATGCGTCCTGTGAAATGCGAGCTGGTGAATCAAATACAACGGTGACACAGCTGTGATGGATCTCACTCATCAAGTTGAGGGTGAGCATGCTGCTTTTTGAAGGTCAGATGTAAATGATCCATCACTGTTTTTATTTACATATATTCCATTGCGGCAGAACATGTCTGAGTCTATGATGGAACATTATGCTGCTGTGAAAGTTGGACTGTTGTATGTAACACTGTTGTATGGTCAAGAAATCATTTTTGGATTAAAACCTTGAATGAATAGTGTTCATTTGCAGTTAGCTGTGATTCTCATATTTTCAACCAAGAAACTCATATTCAGCAATTCAAGTCATTCAAAATATTCCCTATTAAAACACATTTAATATAGATTTTGTGAGTATTTTAAGAGAGACAACCGCATTTAAATGAATCTTGCCTCTAACCAATCAATAACTGATCACTAGAACCAAGTCCCTGCCCTATTTTATTTTTTGCTTATCATTATTTATTTATTTTGATTTTACATTGTACATCACAAAATGGAAAAGATGCCTGTTATGCCTTTAATGTAAATGTGGCTGCCACTACCTGAACTTTTCAAGAGTTAATTCCGTTTTCACTCCCATAACAACTGAATTCAGTGTGAACAGAATAAAATTCTCTTATAAAAGGAGCGACAACCAAATTACATTCAAACTAAGAAAACATATGGCAGTGTCTATTTATTTACACTACTGTAAAAAAAAAGGTACTGTATTTTTCGGAATATTACCTTAACATCATAGAATATATATTTTTTAAATTGTCATCTAAAATGCGCTATAATTAATATTCGCCTTTTAACGCCGAGCACGCAAACACGTCCAAGTTTATTTGTATAGAATGGCACTATAATATTACCTTAACATCATAGAATATATATTTTTTAAATTGTCATCTAAAATGCGCAATAATTAATATTCGCCTTTTAACGCCAAGCACGCAAACACGTCCAAGTTTATTTGTATAGAATGGCACTATAATTTTTGTTTGTTTTAAACTTATATTTTTGTTTTGTTCTGTTATGAATAAAGTTAAATATAAATGATTTTTTGTGGAGCACTAAAATACATGTTTATAGTATTTATGTTTATAAACGTTTTTTTTATTTACCTGTATTTTACATTATTTCTGAATTTAATAATAAAATGTGACTTATACAATATGACTTATCTGTGTAATTTTTTATTCTCTCAGCAATGCAATTTTGATCTGTTGTGACTTATAGTCAGTATAAAAATATCAAACAAAAATAGTTGTTCACACTAAGTGCTAATAGTCATACAGCCTATTCACACAAAGTGTGAACAGAAGTTATATGCTATTTAAACTAAAGCTATAATTTCTAAGCGGGCAGTTCTAATTGTGGGCGGAGTTAGTGAAAATAGCTTTTGCCAATTAGTTAGGCTATTTGCACTCAGTACAAATAGAACATAGCATGCATTGTACAGATAAACGTACCTTGTGTCTGTTGACATGTTTCTTCGGTTCACTCTCATTCTGATCACTGTTGTCGCTCAGAGACGCTTCCTCCCCAAGACCACTGTCCTCGGCATCTGAACCTCTACTTCTGGATCCCATCGTCTTTTCCTCTTTCCGTCGAAGCACTTTAGCCACAGTCCCTGCTTTCCCACCACAGTAGCGTCTCCTGGTGGGAGATTCGTTACCAAGAAAGTTTTTGGTGTCCTCTGATGTGAGCTGATTGGTGTTGATCTTCTCCTTGATGACGCTCACTAGGTCTTTCCCGTATTCGTTACACTTTGGTGTGATGGATTTAGTCACCATTACGGTCTTGATCTGGTCGTCTGCACCTTCGTCGCTGTTCACCGAAACCACGTGAGGCGCAACCAAGAGTTTCATCTCACTCTTCTCCTTCTGCTTTTCTTTTGCATCTTCAATGATGGTATCAGGCATCCATCCGCTTGGGATCGTGTCTTGCTTGTCGGTGTGTTTGCTCGCCCAGCTTTGCCAG